GTACAAAACATTGCAGAGAGAAATGGAAAAAGGCCTGAATAAATAGGAGATCTACTATGCTCATGGACTAGAAAAATCGTTGTTGCTATCAGTTCTCCTCAAACTGATACATACTTCAACATAATCTAGTCACAATCCAAAAAGGCTTTTTTGCAGAAATTGATAAAGTAGGTGTAAAATTCATATGGAAATGAAAAGTACCTGGTATAGCCAAAACAACTTTGAAAAAGAACGAAGTCAGAGAGCTAAAACTACCTGATTTCAAGACTTAGAAAGCCACAAGACAGTGTGATATTGGCATAACAATAGACAAATAGCTCAATAGAACAGTACAGAGAGTTCACAAATAGGCCCATACAAAATGATATTCCAGAAAGACAAAAGGTAATTTAGTGGTGCTGGAATATTAACATGAATATCTGTATGCAAAAAAATAGAAAAGAACTTCAGTCTATATCTCACACCATATACAAAAATTCCATCAAAATGGATTATAGACCTAAATGTGTAACCTAAACTATAAAACTTCTAGAATAAAACACTATAAGACTTTGGGATATAAAAAAAATTTCTTAGATGCAACACCAAAACTATAGTCCATAAAAGAAAAATGTCAATAAATTATTCATCAAAATAAAAAAAAAATGTCCTCACTTTAAAACAGAACAACCAAAAACAAAAACATCTCTTCAAAAGACAGCGAACACTGTAAAGAGAATGAAAGAACTTGTATTCAGAATATACAAAGAATTCTCAATAAAGAAACAAATTACCCAGTTTTTCTAAATGATAAAACATTTTAGCACTTACCAAAGAAAATATATGAGTGATAAGTAAGTATATGATAAGGCAGTCATCATTAGTCATTAGGGAGATATACATTAAAACCACAATGAGAGATAATTAACACGTAACACTGTATGTCAACTATATTTCGCTGTGAATTGTGTAAGACTGTTGAATTACAGATCTGTGCCTCTGAAACAAATAATACATTATATGGTAAAAAAAAAAAAAAGAAGAAGAAGAAGATAGCAGGAGGGGAAGAATGAAGGGGGGTAAATCGGAGGGGGAGACGAACCATGAGAGACTATGGACTCTGAAAAACAAACTGAGGGTCCTAGAGGGGAGGGGGGTGGGGGATGGGTTAGCCCGGTGATGGGTATTAAAGAGGGCACGTTCTGCATGGAGCACTGGGTGTTATACGCAAACAATGAATCATGGAACACTACATCAAAAACTAATGATGTAATGCATGGTGATTAACATAACGTAATAATAAAAAAAATAAAAATAAAATTGTGGATTCTGCCAAAAAAATAATAATAAATTTTTTAAAAACCATAAGAGAAAATACACATATACTATAATGTCTAAAATTAAAAAGACTGACCGTACTGTGTATTGATAAAAATGCAGAAGAATAGGAAATCTCAAACATTGGTGGGGGGAATGTAAAATAGAATGACCACTTAGAAAAAACACTTTAGCAATTTCTTTAAAGGTTAAACAACTACATACCGTATGATACAGATACAGCCTTCACAGGTTTCTACCCAGAAAAATAGAAGCACATGTCCACAAAAATACTTGCACAAGAATGTTTGCAGCTTTATCTGTAAGGGAGTAAAACTGGAAACAACCCAAATGTCTATCAACAGGTAAATGGATCAACAAACTGTGGTATATTATACAATGAAATACTATTAAGCAATAAAAATAATGAACTATTAATGTGTGAACTTATCTCAAGTAATTATACTCAGTGAAAGAAACCGGGACTCCCCACCACCAAAAAAAGGGAGTACATATTGTGTAGTCACATTTATATAAAAATCTAGAAAATGCGAACTGAGGTATAGTTACAGAAAGCAGATCAGTGGTTGCCTGGGGGTGGAGGGAGAGCAAGAGTTTTAGGCTAGGATTATAAAGAAGAATAAGAAAATGTGGGGGTGATGGATAAGTTCATTATCTTGATTGTGCTCATGGTTCACAAATATAAAACTATGTCAAAATTTAGTAAATTATTCCCTTGAAATATGTGCAAAATTTAACAAATTGTTATATCAGTTATACTACAATAACCCTTTTTAGGTGTTCTGAAATAAAGCATAAACACTAATACACATATATTACAAGGGATATCTTTTAAACTACTACTAAGAAAAAGAAAGAAAAGAGTAAAAATATTAACCAATCTAGCAAAGCAGAGTAAAGAAAAAAGTAAAAACAGGGCATGGAGAGTAAACACAGTGAACACGACATAAAAATTAATATTATAAAAATATGACCAAATATGTAAATAACCATAACAAATGTGGATGGTTTAAATTCTCCTATTAAAAGTTAAAATTCTCAAAGAGTTAATAAAAATCAGCTAAATCTTGTCTATTAAAAAGCTGTGGCTTCTCTGTAAAAGGTATACCTAAAATAAAATGTCACAGAGAATTGAAGACAGAGGATGACATATCAGGCAAATACTAACCAGTGGAAGGATGGACTGGGCAGCCAAGAAGGTAAAGGATTCAGATTTCCCATCAGTAGAGAGCTTACCATTCACATGCAAGGAGTGCAATCAGCTGATGGCCTCCAGTTGCTAAGGCCTTCAGGATCCATTTCAGCTTTTGAGTTGAGGCCATACTCTTCCCAGCCAATGACTAAGCGTGAAGGCATTTTAGGGTTTTGCCACCTCTGCTCATGAAAGATTCTTCTTAGAAACAATCTTTGCTCCTGGGTTTCTCACTGGTTTGGCCAAGACTTTGACAGTTCTGTATCTGGATCTGAGGCTCTTGTATCCTGCTTCCTCCCCTTTCCTTTCACAGGTTTCATTCAGATCAGTGTCATGGTCTGAAGCCTTTCCCTCCCCTCCCCTACTTCCTGCCCCTTCAATCTTTCACACATATAACCCCTCTCTCCCAAATAATCTTTACTGCTCCTAACTCCATCTCAACCTCTGCTTCCTGGAGGACCTAACTGACACACCTGTTTCAGTTTCTAGATTTTTCTGATTCAGCAGATCTAAAGTAGATTTGAGTAATCTATATAATTTTTTATTTCCCAACATGATTCTCATGTTTGACCACATTTAGCACCCCTGTAGGGGAAGATTTTAATGCATTTGTTTCCTATGCAACATAATTTAACATTTAAAAACTATTTTGAAGTCTTTAAAGTGTCATTTATATGGCTGTTTGAGATATATTATCAAGTTAAGATGTAAACACAATTTTGCTTTTTTTGTTTTTCAGTAATAGTTAAACAGATAGTTTTGAACCCAGTTAACTATGAGCCTCATCCCACCCAGGGATGGATGAAGAATTAAGAAAGGTCAAGGACAGGGTTTGATATCTATTGTTGTGCACTGCTTGGTAATATTTATATGGGGAAGTTTAATGTTTTGGGGGCTTAGCCATAGTGGTGTCAAATTGGTTTGGTCAAAATCATGTGCTAAATGTGATTAGATTAGTTTACCTCCAAAAGAAACTAAGAATCTTTTTAATGATAAACCCTAGCGTAGGCAAAAATGTCTGGAGAGGGGAAAACAGTGACAAAAGAACTGTCTTAATTGTTTCACATGGCAAAATGGACGAATGAATGGATTTTGTTTTAATTTCTACCATGATGAAAATTTTTAATATTTTTCCTGCTATGGAGAAGCAGACTTACTTTTTCATAAATTTTTATAAATAAAATATATTTTTCATAAGATTAAAAGCAATTAATTTATACATTCTTAATACTATATTCCACAGAAAAATTGAGGGCAAGGGTCATGTCATCCTTCGGCCATTCTCTCAGCACAGAGACCATATTTTATGGATAACCAAGTTCTTCATAATGCATATTGAGCTGCTTATATACTTGATGAACATCTGTTATTTGCTAAATACCTCACAATAAAATGTACATCATAAAAATACACAATTTCAGTTTATCATATCTGCAAAACTATTAGGCATTAGCTATCAATCTCTATTGAGATATGAGTTCAGAAAGTAATTCCTCACATGTGTTCCCTCTCTCTTATTCCCGCTTTCTCATCAACATGACAGGAAAACATAAATCCAGTTTTGTCAAATAGTGTAATTTTTATTATAATCTTACATCACATTAGTTAACTGGTTGATTAAAAACAAGAAGTAGGAATCTTGCAGATATTAAAATAACAGTATATGGAAAGGCACATTCAAACATGGTTGAAGGGAATGTAAATTGATACAATTTGATAATTAATAAAAAAAATGCACAAACCCTTTTGACCTGAAATTCCACTCAGGGAAATTATTCTATAAATATACTTAAACAAATATAAAGAGATCTATCCACAAGAAACATTTTATGTGGTATTGTTTATAATACCAAAACAAACAAATAAAACTTAAAGCAATCTAAATGTCTACCACTAGGACTGTAGTTAATTAAATTAGGACATAACCATACAATGGAATTTTATAACCATTAAAAAGAATGAGGTAGCTCTGCTTGTATTGATATAAAAGATCTTCAAGACCTATCATATTATTAGCTTTCTATAAGTGCAGAAGAGCATCATGATATGTTCCCATTTGTGTCTTGACAAGGATATGTGTATACATATGTAAATAGATTTATGAATGTACATCCATACCTTGGTGTACAGATATATATACATAAAATTTTCTGGAAGAATACATAAAATACGTTGATTGTTCCTTCTGCAGAGTTCTTTCTTGAAGAAATTCAGTTTTCATTATCTACTATACTAAACAATTTGAATATTTTATCATAGCATTTGCTTTCTTTGTAATATCAGTTCTCCAGAGAACTAGCTAATAGCAGCTAACATTCTAAAATTTTCATATATAAGGATATGTATGAAAACCTTTTAAAAATCTCTATCTTCTCAGAATCCTTGAAAAGTTAATTCCAAAATAGGTTTTCCATACTAGGACTCTAAGAAAATCAAAATAGTAGCCCTGTTGTATCTTTATTCATTTGTTCTGTTGCTAGATTCCAATAATTTATGAAGCATGGAGACACAACCCATCAACTTCACTTTGTAAAACCTGAAACCTCTTCACTTGCTCACAGTATCATAGAGTGGATTGTTCTTTTCTGTGTAGCTGGCATAAGGCTGCATTTCCTCCTAAGAAAGAACTCAAAGTCAAAATCAATTCAAAAAATCCGGAAGTCATCAACCACCTATGTTTTTCTCACAGGTGCCCCAGATTTAGTATCTACAAGAGTGCTTATATTTGTGTCTCTGGGCTTACATGGCCATAAGAGAAAGACTGTTTTCTATTATTTTGTCAAAAAAATTATTGATTATTTAAGTTTCAGTGTGAGATGATAATGTTGCGTGACAGTAGGAATGGAGAAGAATGAAGTAACATGAGAGGTATTTCAAAGGACAGGGTCAAAGACTTGGTAAGCTACTGGTTATGAGATTATGGAGCAGAAGAGGATTTAAGAGCATGTAAGAGGGAAATGATGATGATATGGAGAAAGGGAAGTCAAGAACTGGAGATGGTTTCATGGGGGAGGAAAGACCAATTCAGTTTCTCCAAATGTTATAGTCCAAATTTGGCAAACATGTGTTTTGTAAGATACAGTTCTTGAAATGCAAATATTGCTTGGAATATGTATAAATAGTATAAGCAGATAATTAACAAAACAAGTACACCTGAGTACTAGCATTTATGAAATTAGAATTTTTGCTTTTTAATTAAAATACTAATACTGAGGCAAATTACAAATTGCACGGCTATATCATCACTTTGAGACTTGAAAATTTGCAAATATTCTTTTTAATGTTATCTTACCTCCTCAACAACTGAAGGAGCTTCCATTTTTTTTAATTTGCATTTTCTGCAAAAATAAAAATAAGCTGGAGTGAATGTAGAAAACATCATTATTTAATGAAAAATGGGAAAACAAAACAGTATATCATTGACAAGTGTGGTTCATTTTTGATAGAAGCCATAATAAAATAGAAAGGAATTACCAGAAATAAGAATGTTACTTGTAGTTAATACACCTAAATGACAATAATTCTGGATATGGGGAGAGGAGTGAAATTATGCAACAGAAGCATGATATATGGAATAAATGTGACACATCCTTATTGGTACATAAAATGAATTATTGTAATTCTTTTCTCAAATACAGATTAGCATACAATGTCTCTACCAGGATCTTGCCCTAAATGGCCTATTTCACTATGCTCGCATGCCTAAGTAACCAAGCAAAAATCCCTCTTGTCATTTAGTCCAAATCTAACACCTTTAGGACACACTTCTTGATTATGGGAGAGTTGATGTTAACATATTAATTTTAGCCCATCAATTCCATATATCTGACCCCTTCTAGCCCAATTAAACTAAGAAAAAGCATCACTCAATACCTGCAGCAATCGATTTTCAAAATGGATCCCACAGTGAATCCCACAATGACCAAGGTAATCAAAATAGAGGAGGTGATAGATAAAATAGTTAATTTCAGTGGTGATTGGTCACCTGTAAATATAGACACAAAAATATATGGTTTAACTGTGGTGCATCCAGATAATGGAATATTATTTAGCACTAAAAAGAAGTGAGCTTCATGAAAAGACATGGAGGAAATTTAAATGCATATTACTCAGTGAAAGAAGCCAATCTGACACTGCTACATTCTGTATGATTCCAATTATATAGACATTCTGGAAAAGGTAAAACTATGGAGAGAGTGTAAAGATCAGGGGTTGCTAGAGGCTAGGGTAGAGGGAAGAATGAGTAACTGGAGCATAGATTTTCACCTTTAGATAGTGAAACTACTCCATGGGAAGCTACAATGGTGGATATATGCTACTTCTACATTTGCTAAAACTCACAGAATGTACACCTAGAGTGAACCATAATGTAAACCACAAACTTTGAGTGATAATGTTGTGTTAATATAGGTTCATCAGTTCTCACAAATATAGCAGTATGGCAGGGGTGATGTAGAGAGAGGGGGAGACCGTGCATGTGTTGGGGCAGGGGTAATATGGGATCTCTCTGCACTTTCCACTCAATTAGCAAAAGTGAACCTAAAACTGCTCTAAAAACTAAAGTCTATTAAATACATATATAACTGTAAAATAAAATATATGTTCAAGGATGTCTCAGAGTTCATGAAGTTCACTTCTGTGATTTTATTTTAAACAGTTTTTACTCATTAATAGTTCAAATCATTGTTATAATAAAATTGCTTTATTAATTCTGATTCTAGGGTGTTTAGCAAGACATCATCCTAAGTCAAGGTTTTGTGGCTTTAAGAATTCATGAATGGTGAATTCCTATAAGAGATATGTACAGACTAAATTTCTCAGTTACAGTAATATCAGGGTGTTTCTCATCTCCAATATTCAGAAGTAAATGGGGAATTGTAAAAGAGGTAATTGGAAAAACAACCTAATCCTGAAGTCACCTTTCTTCCAAGTCCTTGAAACTGACATGAATGCATGGCAGCAACTTTCAATTATTTATTAACTCTGGCAGCAGTATTAAGCTCAGTCTGACAAGAGAAGTCAACAAAGGAATTGCCAGCTCTGGGAATCAGTGGTTCTAAGACTTTGCTCCTGCTGTACCCTGAATTGGGCTGAGGGCAACAGATGGAGGTAAGTGGAAGCTAAGCAGTCTGGCGTCCTCTCCTTCCACATTCCTTCAACAGTTTGTTTTTAAACATTGCATTTCTGTGTCTTTTATTTGAAAAAGAAAAAATTGTTTTGCAGTTAAAATCAACAACATTGTCTTGAAATCCCCTCTTTCAAACTAATGCACTTTCTTTCATTGGAAGTGTAGCCACAGAGGCTGAGGATCTGCCCTGCAAGGAGACAGAAAGGAGACCCCAGCACTGGCTGAGAGTGAATGAGACAGTCCCTTCAAGTCTGAGCATCCATAAACATGACATCATATTGTAATACTGGGTAGTCAGATTGCATACACGAACGGAGCACAATTACTCTCCTCAGTGTATAATACTAAAATCTTTTTTTAAAAATCAGCTTAACAATGGAAATTGGAAAATGTTGGTTTAAAGACGGATTTTTCTCCTCTCCTTAAACTTCACTAAATTATCAGTAGGAAAATTTTCTAAGTATAGACTTTTTAAATATAGACAATGAACATGGATGAAGATAAGCAGATGAAAAATTTCAACTTGTTCTTAGGTGAAAAATGTACAGAAGAAGGCAAATAATTTACAGTAGAATAAGTAAGAATCTTAGTGTCCATAGAACACCAAGAAGACTCTAGAATAGGAAAGGCCAAATATATAAAAAGGGGCAAGTGGGGGGGGGTGAAGTGTAATTTAAAAGTTGGAAGCCTTTTTAAAGGTCTCTATTAAGAAGAGGTAGGCTGCCAAGTCCACTCCCACCCTGTGCAGCCAGGTCACTTCACCTTCCTCAAACAGCAGGAAACAGGAAGTTTGACCAGAAAAGTTGAACTGGAAAGATTCCAGAGTCAAGGATCCAGACATAATGGAGGGTAGAGAGGAAGTACCAGACTGAAGAGAAGTATTGAAGAAAAGTCTGTGTTCTGAACAGTCTCCCTCTCTCTCTCTCTCCCTCTCTCTCTCCCTCCCTCTCTCCCTCCCTCTCTCTCACACACACACACACACACACACACACACTCCTCTTCCCTGCTCTCATAACACTAATAGTCAAGGTTATCCCTCTAAGACAATAGACTGGAGAGTTATTTTCTGCAGAACCTGAAAAGCCTCAGAGAAAAGAATTTCAGATAACTAAAGAATCCGTATCTAAAAAATTGTTTTTTCATTTACCACCTTTCAGCCTATTGAAGCTAACTAGTTGACAGGACCACCCACAGATAACATAGCTTCCAATCAGTTCATTTTTGAAAGCTCACTTTGAAATGAATGGATAACCAAGGATTACCAGAGAGTAAAGGAAAGCTTCATGCATAAAACAAAGAGATTAAAACTAGTAAATGTCTGGAAGGCAGAAGGAACTCAGATTAAACAGACATGGAATCAAGCAGAGCACTGTGGGAAAGAATGCCCAGGACAGTCGTTGTGCAGCAGGTCTCGTGCCTACTCAGGCCAGATTAGGACAGAGTATGTAAAACTCAAGAAAGGATGTCTTCAAGAAAAAAAAAAAAAATAGAACTGATGGATTACCCAATAAATTTGACCATGTGGAACGTAGGATTAATAGGGGTTTTCTAATTTTGTCACTGAGCTTAATGATAATTAACAACAAATACATATATATTTTTAAGATTTTATTTATTTATTGGAAAGAGAGAGTGAGAGAGAGCACGAGACGGGGGAGGGTCAGAGGGAGAAGCAGACTCCCTGCTGAGCAGGGAGCCCGATGGGGGACTCGATCCCAGGACTGTGGGATCATGACCTGATCCGAAGGCAGTCGCTTAACCAACTGAGCCACCAACACCCCATAAGTACATATATTTTTAAGGAAACTAAAGAGTAAAGTTTAAATCAATCATAGAGGGTACTATATCTAAAATTATGGGAAGAAAATCCCACCAAACTAAAAATCTGTGAAGAAAATTTATAAGTGACTTGATCCTTCTTCTAAAAGCACAAAGATTTCTTTAAAAATACAATTTAGTCTTCTCCTAAAACCAGATGTATTAATTTAAAAGTACACTACTCAAGCCAACTTACTACTTGTATAGAGTGCACATTAAATTATGAAATTATTTTTCATTTTATTTTATTATATATAATAAATTTCGCTCTAATATATGGCTTTAAGGAAGAGAAGGACATAAAAAAGAGGGTGGGGAGATTATGCTTGAGAGAAATTCTCTGCACACTCCTGTTTCATTCTTCTGTAACTTCTCTGAAAGAATGAACATATCAAGCAAAAACCGGAATTACTAACCTGGATTCAGCTCTAAGGACAGAGTCTTGTTGCCGGTCACGTGGGAGACAGAGCAGGACACGTTAGACACCTGGCGGTCCTCCCAGTGGCATGTACTCAGGACGGTCACTGTGCCATTGCCCAACTGTTGTTCCGCAGTGTGACAGTCTCCCCCTGGGGTCCAGGAGATCTGTGCAGCTGGCTTCCCTGCAGCTGCCCTGCACACGAGGGTTCCATTGCTGCCTCGAAACAGGGTCACCTCGGGGGGCACTGCAGAGATGCAGGGGAAATGCTTCAGGCTTAACACATGGGGTATGGAATAGAGAGAGATTTGGTTCGGTTCCAGATCTGCTTCTCTGACGTACCACAATATGTCATGCTCCTTACCTAACACTTGGAGGTGATAGCCAAGACCGAAATTCCCATCAGGTGCGGCCACTTCACACCTGTAATATCCATCATGAGTGGTGGCCACGGGATCAATCTGAAGGGCAGGATTCTGATCGGGTCTGGACTCCCAGGATATTCTCTCGTCGGTACAGTTTCTTTCACTGGTCTCATTGTTATCTCTCCTGTAGGCTCTAATGCAGGAAGGCTTGTCTCTGAGGTTTATTTCCCACCTTATTATCAGCACATTTGTTAAGCTGACAGAAGGACAAGTGAGCACAGCCTTTGTAGCCACAGATACAGACCGAGAAGTGTTAGCTGGACACACACAAGGAGAAAGAAAAGAAAAGCTTGATAAAAAACTTCAGGTGTTAAATTTTCCACAATATATGACATAAAGTAGTACTAGAACATGACTTTGCTGGTGATCCTATCCCAAAATATTAGGCTTACATAAAAAATTAAATATGAACCAAAATATATAACTCATTAAACCTAATCCAAAGATGAAAGCATTTTCTCATGTTCTGTGTTATTAGATAAACTATATTTATTATATATATGAGAAATATTTTAAGGGTCTAAAATCACTTCAGAAGTTCTGTATAAAACAAACAAGAAAACACAATTTAAAGGACAAAGTCATCTAAATCTAATCTTTTTGTAGTAGAAATTATTAGATTTATCTTATAACTGGTTCTCCTCAGGACAGAAAGTGGAAAAATTGATGATGTGGTTCTCTCCTCCTAAGTTTTGGTCAGAGAGACTAAATCAGTAATATCAGAATGAAATGCCTATCCCGAAGGGTGCCACTTCGGACAAGCATAAATAAAAAGCACAAGATGGCATTCAGGTTGAACAAATTGGACTTTTTTAAGCTACTTTTTATTTGGAGAATCACAAAGTCAGTAAAAGCAACAGATTTCCCTTCCTTCCTATTGAGTCACACATATACTGCCAAACAGTCCCACTATGAATTTGCTCACAGATGTTGTTTCTATACATTCTACCTAATTATGAGGATTAAATGAAGAAGTTCACTGCTTTTGCCCATCATTAGTGTAAAAATTAAGCCCTGCAACCTATGATTTTTCTCCAATATAGAAGCTCCAGCTCTCCCATAAATACACATAATGCATCCATGACTGGCAGGGCTTTGCTGAGAGAGGATTAGGGGCATCAGGTACCACATACTGTAACCCAGGCGAGTGGCAGGGAGCTCATCACTTTAACGTGAGCAGAACCTGCTGTGAGGGGCTAAGTTGTTATGTGGGTGAACCTCGTTGTGCGAAACTCTGTATGTGAGATCTCTCCTCTCCTCTTTTGGTATCACTTGCCTCTTCTGTGATGGACTCAAGATCTTGCATTTCACAGCCAAATCAAGATCCCACAACTGCAGGAAGCAAGTGGGGGTGGATTTTAGAGCAGATCTGAGGGGCAGTTAAATCCATGCTCCTCCCACCACTGCAGGTGGCTCCCCACCCTAGGCAACTTGGCCAAGGCTCAGAGGCCAGCAGCAACATAGCTGCTTGGAGAACAGCTAGGGGTGGGTGTGGGTGAGCACACATGTGCCCAAGG